GGGAGGTTGAGAGAGCTGAATCTCTTCAGCCTTCACAAGAGACGGCTGAGGGGAGATCTTGTGGCCGCCTATAAATTTATTAGGAGAGGTCAACAGGGAATAGGGGAAGCGCTGTTTACTAGGGCACCCCAGGGAGTGACTAGGAATAACGGGTGTAAACTAGTTGAGAGTGGATTTAGGTTAGATATTAGGAAGACATTTTTCACAGTAAGGGTGGCCAGGATCTGAAATGGGCTTCCAAGAGAGGTGGTGCTATCACCTAGCTTGGAGGTCTTCAAGAGGAGGCTAGATAGTCACCTGGCTGGGGTCATCTGACCTCAGTCCTCTTTCCTGCCAGGGGCAGGGAGTTGGACACGATGATCCATTGTGGTCCCTTCTGACTCTACAATCTATGAATCTATGGCGCAGTAACAGCCATTACTGCACTGTCCCAGCAGTGCACAGTTACTTTGAGCAGCTACGTTGCCATAGCAATGTGCTATAGTGAAGTAGCTTGTAACTACAGTAACGTGGTGGCAGCAGCACAGTTTGTGCCTGCCATAGTGATGAGCTATGTTGCCGTGGTGCATCATTACAGTGACATAACATCACATGTAGATGAACCCACTAAGTGGCAGAAATCTATGTCCACCGTTTTTGGTAAGAAAAAAAAAAGCCTTTGTATTCTTTTGCTAAGACTGATCCTAAAAGAAACCTACTGTTTGCAGTGTGATACTAATTGGTTGTCTCTGCAGAAATGCCATAGAGGAGCCTGTAGAGGTAGCCCCGTGCTGTGAAATGAATGAGATTTAAAAAGCAAAGTCTGAAAGCTGCAGGAAAACAGGTAATGTCTTGCTGTAATAAGAATATTACAAATTTTTAAGAAGATATACACTCCTTTTCTGGAGGAGCAGAACACATCCTAGCAGCCATCACAAATCCAGCAAAGCTGCAAGCTATTCAGAGGATAAGATGCACTTGTTGGGAAAAGTTATAAAACAGCATGATTGTTTGTCGTAATTAAATTGTTCAAACCGTCTTAAAAACAAGGACTTGGAAAAAACTACAGGGAAACACAGGCAAAACTCTTTCAAGGAAGGTGTAGCAGAAAAGGGCTGGCATTAATGAACTATTGGTAGTAAAATATCTGTTGTGCAAATCAAATTCTTGTAGAACTGATCCATCACATGCCAGAAGCAAAATAGTGTTGGGCTTTCTCACTATTTGGATGTGAGACCTCTGTGGGAACAGCTAACTGGTGCAAGAAGTGACATTAGTGGCTCCATAGGAAGTAGTTTTTCTTGAGTCAGCACTCCACCAATGCCACGTAGTGCCAGGAATCCTGCGTTACTGCCTCTGGTGTCTTTCCTATGGAGGAGTAGAAAGGAGTTCTTGAGGAACTGTAATAGGGAACAGTCTAAAGAAAATGTATGCTCAGGAACCAGCATATAAATTAGGAGCAAGTTTTCTCAGGAAAGGGTATTTATATAGAAGACACATTTAAAAAAAAACCAAACAAACCTCTCTCCTGCATAAATTGTTTATGCTCTTCTCCCTGCCCCTTGTTCAAAGCAAATGCTGAATTTACCCCTCTCAACTCAGTGGTCCCGCCATCCAAAATCCACTAAAGGATTACTATTCCAGGAAAGGCAATGGGGTCAGCATTCTTCATCATTCTAAACTGCTCACGTGGCGCAGTCTTGTTCCTTCAGCCGTTACTTTGTGAATTTACGCTCAACCCTTGAGAATTTAAGTTGAGAAGATTCTAAGCAGAGAGAGAGAGGCATGTTTAACCTCCCCACTGAGGGAGCTGTTCACCTGAAGAGACCATTGCAGTCTAGTTTAGATACTCCCACCTCTATCCACTCTGAAATGCAGTCAGGTGGCTGTTCAGCTGTAGTCACAAAAATTGGTGGTATTCTTGCTCTACCCTAGCCACAATGGAAGCTGCCCCTTATCTCCAGAGAAATAGCTATGCGGGCTGTTCAAGAAGCAGAAAGTTATTCTTCTTTCTAGCAAGAAAACTCATCTTACGCTTGCTAAAGTTGGGGATGTGGAACTTGGACAGGAGAGAGAATAGCAGACAGTTGCAGGCACAGAAAGAGATGAAGGCAAATTGCAGCCTTTTCCCCTCCTGTCCGATTGCTTTTAATTGACTCCCGCTAGATGTCAATTCAGCCCTGCAGACTCTAACTCTAACTAAAAACATTAACATTAACTCAGGTGTGAAAATAACTTTCAGTGTAGCATTACATGTATTGTCAAGATGCTCAAGAAGGTTGGTTTTGTTTTATGAACCTGAAAGAGATGTACATTTAATTTGAATGACCACAGGACTAAAGAAACAACATCTTTCAGTATTTTTACTAGTGTGCTGTGTTTTCAATGCATGATGTATGATTAGGGACTTATGTAAATTGTGTTTTCAAGATTTTTGCAGAAATGGCGGTTTCTGTGATCCCACAATTTTGCACAGAATCACCTAAAAAGATAAAAGCGTGCCAGAATACAAAGAAAACATGGCAATCCCTGCAGCCATAGGGAATGTGGTTTGAGAAAGAGCTACTGAAAGGCTGAGCTTGTGATGTAGATTCAATGAGAGCACCAGTCAGGAAAGCGAAAGGGTTTTGGCACCATCTTTTAAGAAGCCAGAATCCGCAGTCTGAAGATGAGTGAAAAGAAATCCAAAAAAGTTAAATACATTCCAGCTCAGGATCTTATAAGGCAGTTCCCTATAGGAACCTTGCATGCAGATGGTGGTAAATTGTTCTGTTCATCGTGCAAAATGACTCCGGATGTGTCGAGGAAAAATAGCACTGATTGGCATTTAGAGTCCAAATATCATATAAAGCAAAAGGAAAGGCTGCAGAGGCTGAAGGTCAGAGCAAGAAATAAGCGATTATGTCCTCATTCTTTAAAAGAACCATGGAAAGCAGTTTGACAAGAAGAGAGGCTGCATTCATGATTGCCAACATTCATCTAGAGAAAATTGATAACCCTAAATTACGGGACTGCTTGAACAAACACGTGCCAAATACTGATGGTTTCCCATGTGTGAACAATATTCACCAAGATTATCTACCAGGAGTAATTGCTTCACATGTTCAGTCTATGAAATCTGCATTAGCAGAATATGAATCAGATTTGAATTGTAGTAGACCAGGGGTGAGCAAAATGTGGCCTGCTAAGCCATTCTACCTGGTCCGCGGGGCCCCTAAAAAATTTAGATAATTAATATTCATCTGCCCCTGGCTGCCTGTCATGCAGCCCTTGATGGCTTGCCAAAACTCAGCAAGCAGCCTTCCACCCGAAATATTTGCCCACCCCTGTAGTAGACAAAGCAACAGATGTCCAAAATAACTATGTTCTGCACATTTTATTTGTACCTGGGAGCTGGACAGACCATAACCTGCCTGTTTTTCAAACAGAGCCAGTTCACTTCACATCTGTCTTCTTTTATTTACCATGGCACAAGCTGTAGTGAAGGCTGTTGTAAACTACGGCTTAGAATTTAACAAGATCTCAGCATTTCTGTCTGACAATGTAATGTATATGTGCAAAGTTTTCTCTAATGTGCTCCATGGAATGATGCCCAACACAATCCATGTCACCTGCAATGTATATATCCCTGTTTTAGTAAGTGACATCTGCTGCACACATTTTCCTGATGTAAATAGCCTGGTTTTCTCTTTTAAAAAAACATTCAAACATTGTCCAGGCCATAAGCTTCAATATAGGGAGTCCCTTGCCAATCCAAGTGGGGATCTACATGTGACACAACTGTGTCACTTCCACCAGAGTCAGTGGTTACAAGGTGGAATTCATGGTTTAACACAGTTCATTACCATACAAAGAATATGAAGTCCTACCAGCAATTTGTGTTCAATGAGCTTGAAATCACACCTGGCACACAGTGCATGTTTAAAATATGTCATCTCTTTAAGACAGGGCAACATTGAAGATAAAGTTAAGATTGTGGCTGAAAATGTGATCCAGTTCATGGAGCTTCTAATGTGGTTTAAAAGTCAGCAGGCTTTGATGCACCAAGCACACAATAAGCTGACAGATTTGATAAGTTAGGTCGAAGACATAGATAGCACTGCAACAACTTTCAAACTGGCAACATGAACACAAGAACTGTTCCAAGCAATAGCCATGAAGTTGTAGTTCAGTACTACAAGTACAATCAGTCACTACTACCGTGGTTTAAATAACCAGCAACCTCTTATTTTAGTGTTGTTCATATTTTTTACCCTAATCGGGTGCCTTTTCTGAGTTTTGACCCTTATCTATTGAAAACAAATCCCTGGATGGTAGAAATAACGTGACAAGGAGCATGCTGCTTACATGAACTTTGTCAGAGTGTGCTGGATGCCTTTGATTGTGACTGTGTTTTGGGGTTCTGTTTCACATTTTTACAACTTGGCAAAATGTTGCCTTACCATTCCAACCAGTTCAGCAGACACAGAACATATGATCTCAGTATATAGACAAGTGTTCACACCAGAGACAAAGGATGGGAGCTACAACTGCTGGTAGATGCTGTATGCTAGCATTTAACAACCAGCATGGATTGTTTCTATCAAGGTTAGCATTATTTAGTATTACTAAACGTTTTGTAGAATGCTAATAATAAATTATAGTGGTATTAGTTACAGTTCATAATGTATATAAATTTACATGCATAGTGTATTTCAATTTAATACTGAGATATACAATAATATGGTAATTTATTGATATTTTCCACAGACTTTGCTATTTTTTAATTATGCCATGGTTTTTTACTCTTGGCCAATCAACAGTAAGGGGTGTGGCCACTGGGGCCAATCAACCAGTCAGCAGTGGGGGGGAGGGGGAGTGGGACTCATTGGCCATGCGTAGGGGGGTGCATGCGGGTGCATGTGTACCCCCTGAGATTGGCAGTGCATCCCCTGAAAGAAGTGCTGCCAACGCTGCCGGCAGTGCCTGTGGGTGGTCACCACTCGCCACCACCCCCCTCCCCTGCCACCAACAAAGCTGGTGGCATCTGTGGGCAGTCGCCATGCCCCCCGCTCCAGGGCCACACATCATTCATGACAGGACTTGCCGTGAAAAGACCACAAAATCAGCTCTGCACACCACAAGTGGCCCACAAAAATCCCTTTGTCTCGCCATACTTTAGGTAAGTCCATATGTATGATATAGCAAAGTAATGCACAGTCAACAGAATTATATTTGTTTTCATTTCAATCTTAAATTGAATAATAGAGCCCTAGGCCCCTAGCATATTAGCAAAGATTTTTTTTTTTTTACCTGGGTAAAAATCAGTTTTACATTATATATGATGATGATGCACCACACCACTTTCAAAATTCTAGATCTATCCTTGGGAGGACATTATGAGGTCTGTCTCTTATGTCCGTTGTTGCTCCTGAGAAGTTAGAAATATTAGCAATGAAAGGAAATGTGTAGCAGCATTGCTGTTAGAGATGCCTTACCCACATGAAAATGTTTTAAAATGGAAATATTTCCAGAGTATCTTAATCTGGGTTTCCGAGATGCTGAGTTCAGAGAACTCCTATTGAAATCAATGGAGTGTTCAAGCCAAAGTAGCTCTAGATGCCAAAAAAGCACCTTATTAATAACTTGCCAACTGAAATCCACAGATGAGACATAAACCCTTTCTCAGAGAAGTTCTTGACACCTTGACCCAGAGCTTCAGAGGTATGTAGGAGCCTAAGTATCATTGGAAAAATATACTCCCACAGGGCTTTCCTGCTCTGACCAGCCCCTACCATAGCTATGCAAACACCCCCACCCATAATACTCTGCACTTCAATAGTGTCTTTCATCAGATCTCAAAGCACTTGACATACATCAGCTAATGAAGTTTCATGCTTCCCAAATTAGGTAAGGGAGCTCCCTTCCTATACATCCCTCCCTCATAGCTATGCAAATATCTCCTGGTCACAGGTGGTTCTCTACAATAAGTACGTTAATTAAATTTATAAGTGATGCTAAATTGGGAGAATTCACAAACAAGGAGGCGCACAGAGAAAGTCCAAAGGGGCCAAGGAAAATCTTGTCCAGTCCATGAAGGGGTTAGAGGACACAGTGCCTGTAATAACAAAGGACTGGATTTAGTAACCCAAGAGATCCCTTGAATTCCTGTTACACGCATAGGAAGGAAATACCTCAGTAAGATTTGATCTGGCTAATTTTGTACTCATGTGGGACAAGGTGAAAAAGGCCTACGATGCCATCATGCCAAATGCAGGGGTAGTCAACCTGCAGTATGAGTGCCACAAGTGGCATGGGCAACTTCTCTGTGGCATGTGGCAGATCAGGGAGGGGATATGCAGCACAGAGGGTGCGTCTACATGTGCATTAATGTGCTTTTCCTAATGCACATTAAATTTAGTACCTCCCAGGTAAGGTACTAAATAAATGAGCATTATGCTACCCTAATGCAAGTGATGCTTAATGCCCAGTAGCTTATTTTACTGTGCATTAATGTAATTGCATGGTTTTGTTACATAATGAGCAGTAAAATAGGCTACTACGCATTAAAGTAATATTTCTCAACCTGTGGGTTGTGGCCCAAAAGTTGGTCACAAGAATATATGAAAGGGTCGTGAACAAACTTTAAAAATGGATTCTCCTTAAAGGAGAAAACTGTAGGAAACTAGCTTTTCCCTTGCAGGCTGGCAGAGTTCTAGCCTGTGACAGGCTGCTTAGGGCTCCCTATGTCCCTCCACTCCCACCCCACACAGTTGGGGGTGGCGTGCAGTGGGCCAGGAGTGAGGGGCACTGGGTCGAGACTGGCCATTGATGTTTACAAATGGGTCCTCGTCCAAAAAAGGTTGAGAACCACTGCATTAAAGCACACATGTAAACGTGCCCAGTAGCAGATGAGCAGGGAGCAGAAAGCAAAGCAGCAGATCAGGTAGGGGGCACAGGACAAGAAACAGAAAGCAGAGCAGCAGATTGTACAGGGGAAAAGGATTTGATTGGCACTTGGGGACGATGCAGGGGTAATTTGTGGCATAGCTGCCAAAAAGGTTGGCCTTCATTGCCAAACATGGATTCCACCTAATACAGCATATGCTTTCAGATGAAGTCCCATCAGCATGCACGCTGATGATTCTCAGATTCTTTTCAGAGAAGCAAGATTTGCTTAGGTATGCACAACCGAGTCCTGCTTTTGTGCCTCTAATCTGTCCTAGGATACAGAACAGAGGCTGAACCCTTCTGTGTTTGTTCAGGGAAGGGCCTGGAGCTCACTGGGTTCTAAAAGATTTCTTAGTGCTGCTCCACAGAGGAACAGGGTACTGTGCTCCCCACCTCCAGCCTTCAGACTTAACTATTGTGGCCATTCCACTGACTCCCATGAAGATGTCAAACAGCTGGGTGCATTACCTCAGCTTCAGGTCATGCTGGCTCCATCTTCTACCTGGCTGGTAATATGTACAGCAGGGGAAGGAAGGGCTTGGAATTGGGAGGAGGGAAGGAAGAGAAAGAGCTTATCTTCATAGCCACATAACCCTGGGCATGAATTTGTTCATATTGCATAAGATTCCTTCACCTAAGCAAACAAACTTTATAGCCCTGAGCTTCTTACTGTCCCACATCAGTGCAAGTCTGTTGACATCAATGGAGTTGCTCTAATACATTAATGTCACTAAGCAGTCAAGCCTTGTATCCACCAGACCTGGAAATGCTCAACCTGTTATATCCTGAGATGCTTGCTGGGTTGATCCATATCAGCCCCTCCCACCCTAGGCATTTTGCAATAAACTCCATTGATTCCTCTTGTAATGTTCTCCCTGCCACACACACTCCTAGTTTTTTTCTCTCTGAAACTCTTTCCACCTAGCTTGCTTGTGAAATTTGATCTCCCAGGTCCCAAAATAGCCCCAGGCCAGCCTGAAACTCAGCCTAAATCTGAAGGTGTTATTTCAAAAGCATAGGAAAGACCTAATTTCTGTCTGAATGAAAATGATTCTAGACAGGGTTGGAACCGAGTCAAGTCAACACCTGGGTTCACCTCAAAATCCCCTCCCCAAATCACTTTGATCAGCCAGATCTTCCAAGCATCAGCCACATAGTGACACTCTTACTCATTTGTACTACCTTATGTCTGGTTGCATTTTCTCTCCTATTCTTTTTTTCCTAACACAGAACCCTGCCTCCTGTGCTTTCATCTCTCTGGAGTTCTCAGTTTCCTAGACACCTTCCTTTCTGTTACTGCCCCTGCTTTTTTCACTCCCTACCTATACTCTGTTTTCACTGATGATCTCACCCACCCACTGGCAGGATGACCCAGTGGGTGAGGTAGGATGATAAAGAGGACAGGTCACGGTTGCCTATGTTCCCCCTCTAGAGAACAACAGAGGAACTGCCCATCTAACCAGAGCAGATGGGTAAAAAGGTAGGCAAATGAACCATCACACTGTACCCCCCAAGGAAGCAGAAGCAAGTGTGGGAGGTAGGAGCCCAGCCCAGTAGTATTGACGTTTCAAGATAACTGGCTCATCCAAGAACTGAGAAGATGAGAGCTCTAGGAGATTGTGGATCTGGGCTGAACTGGGCTCAGCAAAGTTGTGGGGATCTGGAGGTATGTATGGGAGTTATAGTTGGTGCAGCTGTTGAGGCCAGAGCAGACTGGGGCTTTAAGACTGAGTGGATTGGATGCATCTTGTGGTCAAATTGGTGAGTGTACCAGGCACAGCCCAGGGGTTGAAGCAAAGGTGGCTAAGAGTAGACTGTTCTCAGTGGTGGCAGGTGACAGAACAAGGAGCAATGGTCTCAAGACGCAGCAAGGGAAAGTTTAGGTTGGATATTGGGAAAAACTCTCATGAGGAGAATGGTGAAGCACTGGAACAGGCTACTCAGAGAGATAGTGGAAGCTACATCCATGAGGATTTTTAAGGCCTGGCTTGACAAATCCCTGGCTGGAATGATCTAGTTGGGGATGGTCCAGCTTTGGGTAGGGCTTTGGACTAGATGGCCTCCTGAGGTCCTTTCCTTTTCTATAATTCGATGATTCTAAGACAATGACAGAACCAGTGTGTTAAATGAGTTGTGTAAAAGAGGGAGCCGAGAGTTCAAGTCAGGAAAGCTTGGAACAACTATGACTTGATGGTTAATAATAAGGCATTAAAAGTAAAAAAAAAAAAAAAGCTGCGCTAGCAGTAACCAGAGGGAGCAGGATTGCAGCAGAGTGAGGGCAAACAGGAGCAGGGCAGGCAATATACCTGGTAGCTGGAAGCCTGTAATGTTCCTATACATATAGCAGGAAAGGATGGAGGGAATTTGAGCTAGGAGAAAGGATAGTATAGGGTCTCAAGGAAGCAATTGCCTGGGGAAGGATAATCCACAAAAGAACTGAGGGACCAGGGCAGCACAAATTAAGGGCTGGCTTGAAGGGAACCAGGGAAACCAGTGCTTCTGTCGAAGGAAGAAGATGTGGGCCAGGTGAATGGGCACCTAGGAGACACTGACATCCAACATGCCTTCACACAGCCCAAAGCAAGTAGGCAGCTGGCCACATCATTGACAACTCAGAAAAATCCAGGATACCCAATTTATTACATCACCTGCTAAAGACAAGTTCCTGGCAAGCCCTCAGAAATCCAGGCAGAATGACCTTAAAGTCAGCACCTTGTTCTTCCAATACTTACCCCAGGGTCAAAAAGCATTCGGATTCCATTTTCCAGAAGGGCAGCTGAAGCCTAGAGAGTTTGAATGAATCGCAGAGAAGCACCTTGGCTGGAAGGGACCTGCAGGCCAGATCTCGCCCCCAGCACAATGTCATCCAGCCCACAGGGCTCCCCATGGGTCTGGAAATGTGGTGGTGAGGAACTAGTGGCACAGATCCCCTGCCGCCAAATTTCCAGACTCACGGCGAGTCCTGGACCCTGTGCACTAGGCTGACCACCCGATCCCAGAGTGCAGGGCCAGACAGGGGCACTGTTGGGCCTCTGGGCACAAACCTGGCACACAGGGGCAGTGCTAGGCCCCTGGAACCCAATCCTAGCAGCAAGGGGCAATGACTTGAGGGGAAACAAGTCACCCCCCTGGAGTCCAATCTTGGCACATGCGGGGTGGGGGTGGGGGTGGGGGGGAGTGAGGTGGCATCAACCCCACAGGGCAGAATGGAGTGGCAATCCCAGCAGGAAGGGTTTGGTGCCCAGGCCCCTAGAGCCCTATACCAATATGTAGGAATGGGAGTGGGTGGTTTGAGGCTCCCAGGGCCCAGTCTGGGTGGGAGGGATGGCAGCAGGCCCCTGGGGCTGAATCACAGGGCGTGAGATAGGGAAGGGGCAGTGCTAGGCTCTAGGGCTGGATCCTGGCAGGCAGGGCTCCACACGGCCCTAGGCCACTCATCTGGCCTGTGGGACCAAAAGGTTGAGCACCACTGATCTAACCGCTGAGCAAAACTACAGTCAGCCTTAACACAAGATATAGCACCCTAACCTGCCACAGGTAAAGCAGAGGGGCCGCAGCACCCAACAACATGGCTGTCCTACTGCTGAATTAAAAGTTGTTAATACGTGCTGAAGAGATCCTAGGCAGAGGGCCATAGCCCCTGCTAGAGGAAGGCAAAAACCCCTGCAGTCTGTACCAGTCTGACCACAGGGTAAAATTTCTTCCTGACCCCAAATATAGGGATAAGTCTGCCCCAGAGTGGAAGGGCAAGACCCTCTAGCCAGGCGCCTCCAGGTTGAAGGCCCAGCAGGAGCATTGGCAGTCGAAGTCCCCAGCCTCAGCTGCAGCCAGCAGCCATGGCTCTGAGGAAGGCTTTAAAACAACTCTCTGCACGGGGTGGGGGGTGGAATTCCCTCCCAGCAAAGCCCACGAGCCTGGGAAAGCCCCACAGGCACCCCTAGGCCCAGATCATCCCCAACCAGTGGCTGTCCAACCTCATCTTGAACCCCTCCAGTGATGGGGAGTACACCACATCCCCAGGCCGGCTCTTACAATGAAGAAGTCTTTCTGGCTGTCCAAGCTGATGGCTTGGGAACCACGCACCCAGGTCAAAGTGCGAGTCTGCTGCAGAGACGGGAACTCGGGGTGCCCCAGCCAGGGCAGGGGCCTGGGGGCCGCTCTCCTCCCCGCAGGCCCCGCACGGCCAGGGAGCAGGCAGCAGGGGCCGTTTGATGTTTGCAGGAGAGGGGAGGCGGCACTCCCCCAATTGAGGGGCTGTATCTGCCTTTAACAGTCTTTAATTCTCGGCAATAGGAGCCGGGGCGTGGGTCGCATGCACCATTCACCCAGCCGAGGAGGTGTTTGTTTGGGAAGAGCGAGGCAGCGGGATGGCAGCCCCGGGCGGCCGAGGAGACGCGCGCTTGGCCCCGGGGCCCCGGGCCGACTAGGAGGGGCTGC